TTCTTAATGCTTGCTTTGGATTGATCACCCTTTGCATGATTTAAGGTTCCATGGGTATTGGAAAATAACCTTTGAAACTAGCTCTGAAACATATGCCTAGTGGTGATTGTATCTAGGGATAGAGCTTGACCCATTAGTAGTCTTAAACCCTAGCCCGTAATGCAGGTGTAGATATTGGGTACTCAAGGGATTGATATTTTCTTCCAAAATCTCTACTGCATATAAAGAACAAAAGAAAAGAATTTCTGAACTGGCTAAAGAAAATCTTTTACTCAAGAAGGAGATTGCTAAATTTTCAAAAAAATTAGAAAATTGCAAGGAATTTATTCTTTAAATTTGCGAGGGATTTAATAGAAATTAATAGAAATTTGTGGTGGACTTGTTCTCTAAATTTGTGAGACATTTGTGAGGGTTTTGCAAGGAACGTATTCTTTTATTTGTGAGGGATTGGCGAGAAAACCTTTTCCTTCCTAATTTGTGAAGGATTTGCAAGGACTACACTTATAGTTCATTAGCGAGGGATTTGTGACAAGAAAACTCTCTCTGTAGATGAAAAGTTCATTTTTTAATTTTGGCTCACAATTTGGAGAGGGATTTGTGAGGCATTTGTTATGGCCTAAGTTTCTCGCTAGATAAGCACTAACTTTAGCGAATGCTTTGCGAGGAGATATAATTCCAAGCTATTTTTTCGCTAAGTAGCGAGGGATTGAAGAGGAATTGTGTCCCTCTCTAATCCCTTGATAATTAGCGAGAAAATAGCTTAGAATTATATCCCTCGCTAAATTCCTTCGCTAATTCATGAAATTCTTATAATGTAATAAAAATATAATAACTTTCATTTGTATTCCAAGCTAATGAAATAATTTCATCATAACATTGTGTTCGATTTTTAATCCTAAATAGACAAGCTTAGCCACATATTAATTTGTTAAAACTTGGATTAACTAAATGGAAAAATATGACAATATCCATTGGGTTAACAAATATATCTCTTATATTATTGGAAAGTTAAGTATTTTAATTAAATTCTTCTTTGGCAACTGTAATGATAGTGCTAATTGCACTTTTTTCTTACCTAGACTCCACCTATTTCAAAGGTAATAATAGTGCAAGATAGTAGAACATAGTGGACACTAGGCACGATAGCCAGGTGTGGCATTTTCAGCTATCATAATCAAATTGCAAGCCTTTCACCCACCCTCACTAAACACAACCTACAAAGGTACAAAATATCTAATTGAACTCCCAAACAAAGACTAAAGAGAAAACCATACCTAATTAACAAAAATAGAATTTGCTGCATTATCCAAAACCAACCAACAAATTAGGTCAATTCTAGAATTGAAACCAAATCCACCTGCTAGAGCTGCCATCCATATAACACTGCCCAAAACAATTCAAAAGGCAACAAACACAACTAAGTCACAATAAAATTCAAGAGTCCAACCAATTACTCCAATCATCATAGCACTACAAGAAAAAATAGAGTTAACGTGGGTTATTTTTGTTTTCAAAAAAATTAGAGAAAAGACTTGAAGAAATTGAAATACTAAAATCTGATCTATCAAAGTTTACTCTAA